AAGGGGGTATGATCGTAAAAGGAGACCGAGGAATGTCTTTTTACTTTTGATTGTAGTTTCGAAAGTACGGCATTAACTCGAATTGGCGTAATTTACAGCAGAGTAAAAAAAATGAGAGAAAATGTGAAAAAGAAATTGACCAAGTTGCAAAGGATGAAATTAAACGTGTAAGCTCCGGCGCGATACGTCAATTGCTATTGAACAGGCAGAGGCCGAGCGCTTAAAAATCAATTAAGGTGTACCGAGGCTTCGGAAAATAGGTAAAAGTTCGGGAATTTTTTTCACAGCTAACTACTAAATGAAAAGCTTGAATTTTTTCGGAGAATATAAATGTAATTACAGCTTTTACTTGTGTATTTTCGAAAGGCAAAAGTATTACTAAATGGAGGAGTTATTGCGAAATCTCTTCTGCTGGAACGTCGATTGCTGGCCGCCATCGCCGGCAAAGAGTGGAACGTCTGAAATAAAGAATTCTTGCTGATTTATATACAGAAATGTATCACCTATAATTTAGCTTATGATTGTTTCGATATTTCAATTATTTAATTTTTTAGAAATTTTTAAATCTGATTCTTTCTTTGGCAAAAATTATTTTCTTCTCTTCAAACTGCCACCGTTTCTATGATAATTCGAATTTTTGAAAAATCGTCAGCCACATATATTTATTTATAAATCAAAAGTTCTAATCCCTGCTTCACCTAATTTTAGACGCCTCGGGGTAGTACGCGTTAGGCGTTTCTCCCGATCGCAAAGTTCAGCGAACGCTAAGAAACTAAACTATTCGTGTTCTCAAAAATAGCAGATGAGGTCAGCCGTATCGTAAACTTGGGACAATCTGTTGCCTCCGACAGTACGGTTCATAAAAGAATCGAGAGTGTATCGGGGCGGAACACTAAAAATAGACAGTGAAACACTTGTTGAAACGAGGGAAGATGCAACTTTATTATAGCCGTTGATTCGATTCATCAGCGTTTCTCTGGCGCAACGAGAAATGAATATTAACGGATAGGAAAGGACAAATCGATATTCAATTAAGAATTTCCAAAGGTGCCCCTTACGAGTTCATCGTGATCGAAGATAAAGCGCATGTTCGAAGATAAAGCGCAACGTCCAGAAGCCTCCTCTCACGAACGTAAATCTCTCGAGGTTCTTCCACTTCTCACGCTGCAGGATGGCGGAAAGGAAATCGAGAGATCTCCCCTCTCTCTCTCTCGTCGAATGAAAAAAGAAGTTCCTCATCAAAATTCCAGCTTAAGGGATTAAAAAAGGCGGAGGAATACGGAATGAAGTGGTGAAGAACGATTGGACGTTCGAGGGTAGATGGGGAAACTAGGGTGCAGCTGCATCCAGAGGGACATTAGGAGGATATATGGGCGTGTAATCGCGGAGGAACGCGGCAATCCGGAAGACGCACGTCGTCTTTTCGTCACACGGGACGTGGACGCCGATTCTCGGAAGGTTCGAGGATTTAGATTAGCCGTGACTGCTTGTGAATTTGTCCTGAAACGAAGTTCGTAGACGTCGAAGACTTGAGAAATCGCGACCACATATACCCTTGCAATATGCAATCTGTCGAACGATTGCTTCGAAATTCCGTCCAAGGTGAATATTTCACGATGAATTCCAGACCCCGAGACTTCAATATTCCCGGCTATTGTAAGTTGCTCTTTACAATATTAACAGAGAGGACCATTTATCGAGCGATACCGCCGCCCAAGTGTGACAAATTATTGGATCGAGAATGGCAGGAGAATGGAATCGGTGAAATCTCGCTATCCGGACGGTTTCCATCATCGTCATGGAACCTGGTACGCCACTTTCTACGATGTATCGGACCCAACTATCGATCTTTTCCACTAGGTCGACAATGAATGTCCTCGTATCTGAAGCTGTGTTGGGTCAAACGTGAATTATTATCTAATACTTGCACGCTTAATTGTCCTGCCTTTGGAGAGATACTTGACAATGTTCTCTATTTGTAGTGTTTCGAGAAAATGTTGAAACATTTGAGAAAAACTGTGTATAAGCAAAAGGAACTGTGGGAATATCAAGTGGGAAGAGAATCCTGGTAGTAGAAGGGGAAGGAGAGAATTGGTAGATACGTTTATTAACACGTTGACTGCCACGCCTATTTTGAAGAAATCTGTTCTAGACGCCAACATTCTTTTTTCAATTTATTATAAAGAATTAAACAAACACATATTAATTTTTATATTATGACTTTAATTTTAATTGTTTTCTTTTGCAAAAAAATGCATATCATAATTAAAATTTGCTCTTATTGTCTTGTTTATTTTCACTCTTTTATATTTCGATAATCTTGTAAAAAATAATAAATAAATCCTTTTTATGACGCCTTTTTGTTATTAATGAACCTTTAACAGACGTCTTAACACGTGGTGGGCACTGAAAAGTTATACTGTAAAAACGAGATAACTCGTGGTTGGCAGTCAACGTGATAAAGTACAAAGGAAACCAAAGGAAGCCAAAGACCGACAAAATTGTATTTTAGGTTATAGTGTATATTATGTAGTTTTATATTTTTATTGTATATTTTTAGACGTTTATATTTATAAGTAAGTTAGGTTTAAGCAGAGTGAAAATGAAAACGGAACTCGTAATCTCAAAAGGAAAACAATAAACACAATACATAAGAATATCGGGTAAAAAATTGTCGAAGGAGGCTGATACCTTCGGTCGGTACTGTACTGGTATAGTTGGTGGAAGCGATATAGCGAGATTGTAAAATAAAGCATCAGTGCAGCTACACCCAGGGCCGTGCATCATTTGTGAATTTATATCTAAAATTTCTTCTTGCAATCTTCCATTTAGGCTCCGTCGCCTCTTGCTCAATAGTACTTTTTGTATTGGTGAAAATTAACCTAAAACTGTCAACGATTAAGAAAAAACGACATTAACGAATTATAGTCGTTTAGGACCATTATGAAGGAAGTTTCACGATTATAAAACTCCCGTTTACTGGAGCTAAAAAATTTCACATTTGAATTTCGCGCCAATAAATGAAAACAATCTCAAATACAAAATACGATTTGCACCTGCTACTTTTCGATTACCCAAGTCAAACATCGTTCGTTGTGTTCCCTTTCGGGATGGGAACTGCTTTTTTCTCTACATTTGACGGAGATAACTAATTATTTGTCGTGTTTAATAATTTGTAACTTACCTGAACTCTACCGGAACGGTTCGCCGATAAAAATGACCGTTAAAAAAAAATTCGGGCGGCGTAAAAGAAAAAAAGAAATTTAGGAAGTTAATTAATTATTCGTCGCGTTTAATATAACTCATAGTTCATTCAAATCACTCCAATAAAAATTCATCATTAAAAAGAATTCAGGCGGCCGTAAAAAAAATGAAACGTGGGGGTTGTAGTTAATATTTAATTATTCTTCCCGTTTAAAAACTCGTAACTCACGCAAACGGGCGATGAAGCGGAAGCCACTGAAATTGATCGCGAAAAAGAGAATTCGAACGCGGCGGAAAAATAGAAAGAATTGGAAAATGAAAAATTTCTAGTGTTAATTAATTAAATCATTGTTCGCGTCTAATGAAACCCACAACTCGTCCTAATGACTTTCGTTAGTTATCCGCTGAAATGGACGATAAAACGTGTTTCAGAACACCGAAAAACCGTTAAAAGCTTTCGAACTTGAAAAAAGTAAAAACTGCAAAGAATAGCACATTCCTGCGAACACGTCGGAAAAGTAAATTTCCATTTCGAAAAATGTAAATTGAATAAATGAAAAAAAATTGGAAAATATGAAGTTAGAATTGATATGTAACCGGGGAAACGTTCGTTACAATATCGGCAGAATCGGTAAAAAAGAAGGAAGAAAAAAATAGAAAAATGAAGGATAGAAAGGGCCTTGAAGAAAAGGTGAAAAGAAGCAAAAGAGCCTTAGCGACGTTGACACAGAAGAGGAAAGGGTGATTAAGATTCGTCCCAGCCAAGTAATCAGTCTAACCCAGAAATCCCCGAGGAAGGAATCAAAAATTTTCCAAAGCGGGCAAGTGAGTCCTCACGTTTCCCCCGAAGTTAATCAGAGAAGTTAACTCTGACAGTCGATTCAGCGATTGATCCAAGCGCGAGTTAAGCCGTTCATCGTTCAAGATTGTTTCGAGAGTCCACGTCCGGACCAATCTCGACCTCGGTCCTTCTCTCTCTGTCTCTCTGCCGAGGTCTCAAGACTATTGCGAATCGGAAAAGCTTACGACGATTCCAGAACCACCAGCAATCGGTATTACCAACGTCCTCGACGCCTCTTTTATTTCAGGCCAAATCGTCGAACAATTTCTCAACGGATTATACCGAGATTTGCTCGCGGAAAGTTAGGTAATACCTTTACAACCCGCCGCGGAAAGGGAAGTTCCTCCGCGCGGCCCTATCCGTGGCAGAACAAATAAAATAATTCGTCGGGACTTCGAAAACGTCTCCTGTTAACCTGGTGAAATTGTTCACCGATCGCCGCTTCGAGTTTCGATTAACAAGACGTCCTTTCCGTGTACGACACTTTGAAACGTATTTCGCCAAGTCCTCGACAGGCAGGCTATTTAATTCACAGGAATGATTGACGTGAAATGAAATGGAAGTTGTTGTACGCTTTATTACTAGGCCTCCTCTCGTTTGCTTCACGTATTCTCTGCTTAATTAAACTGTAATACAGCTGGAGAAAGGAAGTTTTAATTCTTCCGCTTTCTGTAGTTGACGTGTACTTATTTAGAAGCAATAAATCAGACAGATACAGAAAAAATTATAGTTTCGTAGAATGGTGAAAGGGTTCCCGTTGCTTGATTTAACGCTCGCGCTACTGCAACGCTGTTCGTTTTCTCGAGACTTTTGAATGTTAATAATGTTCCATAGGGACGATGGGCGCGTGTATGGGCGGTGGCCCGATGTAGGTCAGTTGCTTCGAGGAATCTTTTGAATTTTCCAACGAGCAGACAGTAACTTTTCACCTTTTCTTTCGTACAGAGCTTGCGACATGAATCGATACGGACATTGTTTCCTTCTGCTTTTAACACTGTGCATCCTGGCTGGTGATTATCGCGTTAACTCGGATCAGGACACTCGTCTATCGAGGAGGAGACGTTACGTCGTTTTCCCGGAAGGTTCTACATTCTCGGTAAGTGGAATTCATACGGAACAATGGTAATTATAGCGACGTGCAGTTCATTCAACGTCTATCGGAACGTTCAATCATACATCTGTTTATCGAATCTTTAATATTTCACACATGCACACACGAGAGATCCGGATCGATAGGAAACGCTGAATTAAACATGAGCCTAACGTTCACGGATGATATCCTGTGCGATGGTTGCGCAAATTGCACGGTGAAATTTATAATACACAGATATCTTTGCTTCATCACACGTGTCGTAAATAAAATATACACCGAGTTTGTCGGTTATTTGTAGAATATTCACTTTCATCCATATGTTATTATTTCGCAGGTTGCACTCTGTCTCACATTTCACACACTCACCCCGGACAGCATTTTCACCGAGGGTGTGAACTGGGGTATCTCTTACGATCTACCGAACGAAAGTAAACCGGCTCTGGAGCCGTTTTTACAACTGAGACACGATAAAATTAAACCAGCCACGAAGTACACTAGTTACACGAATAATATGATCGACAGAAACACCGTGAAGTATTCCGGATGGAACAGTAACGAGAAGTACTACGTGAAACCTGGTAAAAGGAAGTATTACAAGCCTGATTACTACTATTTGCAACGTAGACATCGCAGGGAGCTTTACAGCAAATTGGAGAACGTGATGAACGCGTAAGTTGTCGCCGACAGATTTTATTACCGTGTAAATAGAGCCTTAACAAGCTTCGAAACGGAGAAAAGCATCGGAGTAAAGAACGGAAAGTAGCTACGGTCGGTGCGTGGTCGGACAAGCGAGAGAGGGGCGGCGCAGTAGAATAGGGCCGTCGCTTGTCAGACGGATAGAATAGACCTAACTTAGAACGATGTCTAATGGTATAAAAAGACGGAAGGGTGCGCGTTTCGTCGAGTACACGCGAGTGAAACGATCCCTCTCGCATTGTCAGACACCCTGTGAATATCTCCGTGGCTTCTTTGTGTCTGAAACTGTTACTTTCTCCAGATCTTTAAAAAACACGTTTTCGTCGGAAATCTGTTTTCGCTGATGAAAAGTACGTATACAGGCTGCATTAGAATTGTCACCTGGAATATCTCCGGAAGAACCACGCAAGTGAGAAACAAATCGTTCAAATGAAAATTCTTTGGTATGAAAAGGACCATCGTATGGTTGTAACGATTGCTCTGCTTTTTTAACGACATGTCACAGTATTTTATTTATTCGTTAATAGCAACCTCTAAGAAGAATACAAGGATCTATAACATAAGGTTAGTCAAGATCACAGAGGCACGTGTGCTTCAGTAAATTCTTACGTCGTTAAAATAGCAATTGTGTCAACTGTAGTAATGTAATCAATCTTCTACGACCTCGACCGATGCTGTGTTCTCGTTGTACTCGTCTTAAGGACTGTTACTAGCGAATAAATAAAAAGGCATATCGTTGAAAAAGCAAGGACAATTTTCACATCTCTTCAGCGACATCACCAGTGAAAAAATTATTACTACTATACGATAGTCCTTTTCGTAGTAAACAATTTTTCTCCTGCTTTCACGAGTCCTGAGATATTCAAGGTGGTGCAATTCTTATACAGGGTGTCATAAAAAAAAGTGCTACCATTTTGTTTCTAAATAGAATAAAAATAAAATAAGATATATATATTTTTTTTTATCAATAATTTATTCAGTCTTTCCAATTATGTGTGAAACATGACATCCGCCAAATGACTTCCTCTAGCTGCTTTACAAAGGCGTGCTCTTTCCACAACATTTTTCATAACATTTTCACAGGTTTCTTGTGTTATTTCTTGAATTTCTTGGCGAATGTTTTCCTTCAGCTGCTCAACTGTGGTCGGCTTGTTTGCATAGACTTGTTCCTTTAAGTACCCCCACAGGAAAAAGACTGATGCCGTTAAATCGGGGGAGCGAGGGGGCCAATCAATGTCACCATTTTAACTTTTGCCAAAAATTAGGGTGGTCAACATTCAACTATAACAGCTTCGTGCTACAGTCTCTTCTTTGTTTGTGGTCACTTTCTTTTAACTCTTGTGTCAATTGAGTTTTATAGGGATAGAAGTGCAAATCTTTTTTCATCATTGTCCAAGCTGTTTGCCGATTTATTCCAAGTTCTTGAGCACGACGTGTTACGGAGGTCTCTGGATTTTCAGCAACGCTATTCTTCACAGATTCAATGTTTTCGTTTGACCGTGCACTACCAGGACGACCACTCTTTGGTCTGTCAGCCACAGTAAAAAGAGTTTCAAAATTTTTAATTACGCGAAGAATAGTGGACTTACTTGGAACATGGTTACGGCCGAAAATATCTCGTAATCCTCTTTGTGTTTGCACAACGGACGATTGATTTTGATAATAAATTTTTACCACAACAACACGTTGTAGAAGTAACCCTGTAGAAGTAAAGGAGAAAAATCGATCGACAATGTTAAAGGTCAGAAGATTAAAAGTACGTATCTCGCCTACGTATTTGTATACGTAGTATGAAACAGTCTGGACAGGATGTATCCATTTTGGGTGGCGTAAAAGCACGATCTGCTCCCATTCGAAAATCGTAGGTACGAATAAATTTTCGCGAAGTGCACCGGACTGAGTGGCAGGCTCGATAATAAAATGTAACGGTGGCTTTAGTAGTCTGGACGTGATCGAACGATCGTTGGACCGCCTTTATGGAGGGCCGTCGGGCCGTCTCAGTTTTTTCCGTGTCATCTGCGGTGATGTATTTCGGTCGCGTTAGTGTAAAACGTGGACGTATCGCGGCGATGCGATGCTATCAACGAGAAAAGTGGTAGGAGGAGGATGTCTGAGCGAGATCAAGGGAAGCATCGATTCCGCAACCCCCTTTGCGCTCATTTCCCGGCAAGACTTAAACGACGTGCGTTACGAGAAGTAAAACGTTTCATTTGTCCTACGAAGAACAGCGCGTGACAGTTTGCAACGTCAACAAGCACATTTCATCGTTTCTTACGAATATCAGCGCGTTTGGTCTTCCTGGGAAAATGAAGACATTACGGCATTTCGCCACGAAGAATAGCATATTTTGGATTTCGCGGCGAAAACTAGCACGTTTCGGCCTTGTGGTCAGTTTAAATTGTCGAAATGCATTTCGCATGGGAAAATTCAACCTCTGAAAATATTGTTTAATAACTAACAGCTCCGTCTGATCTCCGAAACGAAGAAAAATATGAAAATGTTTCTCACCCTCGTCTCCGATGCACTCAAGAAGCGAACGAACCGAAGAGATTTGGATTTCGCGGCGAAAACTAAGAGAAGAATGCGGAAAAATTCGACCTTTGGAAATGTCGTTTAATAAATAACAGCTCCATCTGATCTCTAAAAGGAAAAAAATTTGAAAATGTGTCTCTCTCTCGAGAAGAGAGGTAACAGTCAACAATTCCCAAAATATCCAACTCCCTCGATAACAGTCGCGACGCGGACCCGAGTCTGCGTCAATTAAACGGGGAATACTGTATATTACGATCAGATCGGGACAAAATTTTGATTAGATCAGTTTTCATCGTATTTTGACTTACGTGGTAAAAAAGAAGAAAAGATCGAATCTTGTCTGTCGCTACGGTACAAAGCTTAACGTGCTACTTTTCACAGCCAAACGTCGAATTTTTGACAAATGAAGACGAACGTCCTGTTCTTCATAACGCGCGTTGATAAGTTGAACCACATGTCACACTGAGAATTCTTTTTTCCTAGCAATATTTCGGGGAAAAAAGGAATTTTGATACGTCCAATTGCATTTCACGCGTTGGAAAAACGTCGTTTAATAACCATTTTCGTATCATAGCGAACGATAAATGTATCAAATTGACCAGCAGATCGTCGGACAGCGGTTTATTCGTGCGGTGATCGATGGTCGCGTTCCCCGTGATTGACAATGCTAGAATAATTCGCGTTCGGACGTTATGTATTCGATGAAGAAGAAATCGATCGGATGCGGGGACAGTCGTAGGAAGTCGTAATACGACGAATAAAACGATTTCGAAGGGAAGAGCAACATGCAGGGGGATTGTCTGCTCTGGTTTAGCAAGCATCCCGGAGCATTAATTCCATCCAGTTCCTTCGGATCTACTCCCACGAATCTCCATTCTCCCTTTCGAAGAAGAATCACTCGGAATTAATGGCGGCCATTTACCCGGATTGGTGATCGCAAGACGCGACCTTATTTCACGAGGTCATGCATTCCTTTCGTCTCCCTTCTTGTCGGCCAAATATTATTACGTATTTCAATAAAAGTCTGGCGGCTAATGTCGAGCGATATTTCAAGGAGCAGAGAGAGTGTACAAGCTTCTGTTGTTTTCTTACGATCCTTCTTTCTTTCCTCTTTTTGTCATGAATTTTAGATTTATTTATCTTGCCTCAGCGATAAAGAGCTTTTCATTATTTTCCTTTGATACACGCGGAGAAGCACAGGTTCGTAAAGAGGCTTTATAAGTTTTTAAGATCGATCGAGGCTCGTCTAGGCCACTCAAATCAAGGGTGAAATTATTGGGGAGCAGAACGAATTTTTGAAACGCCGCCTTCAAAGGAGACTTTAATCTTCCTGGAAGGAGGGTCGGTCAGATGAGAAAACAGCGCGCCTCCTCTTTCACCGTGCAACCAGACGCTTGCTCAACGAAAGGATACATTAATACACGTTCTTTTTCCCCTTGCTTCGAACAATTCCGAAATATATGTCGTCCTATAGCTGTACTTTCAATTTATAAATACTTGGAATTCTTCCTAATGTCTCGATTTCGAAATCAGCAAGCCCCGCCTAACATCGACACCGGTATCTTTCACGATCGTCGATATTTTCTAATCAAAATTTACGAGTATCTAGCCTACGAACGTATCTTTGACCGAAGAAAATTTCATTTAATTTCCACGTACAGTTTCTCGAAAAAAAAATTCCTAAATTTATGGCTTCTTTTTCCAGACAGGCGATAACCCCTGAAACAGTAATAATTCTTCACCCCCGGTATCGGGACTCGAATATATTTCTCTTTCCAATTTATTTCTCCGCCTCTCTAATCTTTCCTTTCTTGCAGGATGAACTTTGACGGGAGGACGTGCGTGCTTCGAGCGCTGTGCGAGGCCTCCCAGCGTCTGATGCCGAAAGGGAACACTCTCGTCGAGGAGATGATGAGGATATCATTCTCGTAAGGTTCACCAGAGCGAGTTGAAAATAAGAAAAAAAGAAAAAGAAAAAAGGGTTTCGAAGGGTCCCCCTCCCCTCCCCACCCGATCCCGTCCTTTTCTCTGCACTCGGATTCGAGGACGAAGCTTTAGCAAGGAATGATGGGATTTCGGAATAATCTCGTTTCGCCGGAGAAAGAGGTGAGGCCGGGTTAGCAGAGGCGAATTTTATTAAGCAAATAAGGTTAAAAGGGTGCCCTTCGTGGATATTTCACGCGTTTCGACCCCGATATACCGTAAGCTCCGCCATTTCTTCGGATCTGTCTCGTTGTTCGTGCAAGAAATTACGCGCCGCCTCTCATGGATTCGAAAATCTCCTTGACACATGGCTGATTCCGTATTCAAAGTAGAACTGCCGCTATTCTCTCTCCGCGCATATTATTAAAAATTCAGTCACATATTTTTTTTATCACGAACGGTTCAGAACGTATTACTTCGACGAAACCGTCGGAGGTAATTTTCAAAAAAGAAAAGGAAGAAGAAAAAAGCAGATTTCTACGAGACACGATAATTGGCAAAGTTCCCCCTCCAACCTCCAGCCTTCGAAACACGCAACTGTACAATTTTTCAAGCTTCAGATACACGCGAACAGTTTCCGATCTACCTCTCCCTTCTTTCTCTCTCTCTCTGGTTGTTTCAGCTTCCCTTTGAAACGACTGTTCTCGTACGAGCCAGAGGAGCATCGCGCGTACGGCAGCGCCCACAAAGCGGGCCACGAGGGCCACGACTGCGCCGCCATGTTCGCCGGATGTAGCTTCTCTCTGATCGACATGGCCCTCGGGAAATACGACGCGTCGCCTCAACTTCCGCTAGGATACGCCGATATGGCGAGCTCTTCCGGCCACTGGGCCAGGTACAACATGAAATAACGTGTTTCGTCCACGGTGGATGGATTTCGAGGCGTATGTTCGCAGAGATGCAGTCTCGAGGCTCTCGTGGTACGCCTTCCCGAGAAGTTAACGTTTCGTGGATTGTATCAATTCATGTTGTTGGACGAATAATCGAGGAGGTCAAGTGGTAAACGATGTACACTGCTAGTCATAAGTATTGGGACACCTGTTGTATTATGGGTGATTATATAGACAGTTAACTTCTTAGAAAGAACGTCGGAATAGTTTTTACTGAACCACTTCCAGTGGAGTGAAATATTGTAGATGTTGCCATATGATGGTATTTCCGAGTTTCTTGTTTTCATATATATTTGCTATCACAAATAGTGGAATTTTCAAAGAAATTGAGTGTAAGTATTGGGACAGCTATTATGTTCGCACAGAAATTACTATACGATTTAAATTACATTTCTTCGCCAAAATTAGCATCATGTATCAGTAAAAATATACAGGGTGTTCGCACTATTAGTTTGCAGTGGGTTTCTCGTGTAAGTGGTAGATTTGTGAAAAAAATAGAAGAGAGTAAAGTTTCATTATTTTTCATGAACAATATAATGGCTTGAATAGATTTATCGAATTTGCAATGATTTTCAAATATTTTTGTATCGATAGCAATAATTTTTTTTATGTTACACGAAACCGTTGCCAAGACAAGTTTAACGACCTTCGATATGCTTATTTTCAAATTCAATTATGTGTGAATGTTTGGTGTGGTATAATTAATGACACGTTGTTAAGATCATTATTTTTATGACGACATCTTAAATGGAAATATATGTATATGTTCCATGGAGATGCTTTCGTACAAGCCGCATTATCCATAGATGAATAAGTTGAAAATGTGGCTTAGCACTTTTTCATTTGAACACAAGTAATGTATAACATATTTCATATTCTACATGCTTGAACGTGCAAAATTAATCATGCATATTCGTGAAAATGACGGAAAACCTTTACGCTTGTATACGACGAGTGTAGTACTAACACAAATAATAATTAATAACTCATTATTTACGACGAATTTCTGAACATTTAGAGTTGGAGAATGAAGTATGGATCTTCAGCAACTTCCTTGTATAATTTTTAGCACGTTAGACCTGTTTAATAATTAGTTATTAACAATTTTAGTATGTGATGTCGGGAACGATACCAAATACCGTCATGTATCTTTACGTTTTTGCAATAATTTCATAGCTTTCTACTAAATTCTCATGCAAGTAACTATACGCGTCTCAAAGGCAACTCCTTCAGCTACATAGAAGGGTTATCTGTAGGGGTGGAGAAAAATGTTGAGCATGTATAATGACGTTTTTTTTTGCGCCGGAGCCTTTGTTCCCGTGAAAGTTGAGGTTGCAAATTGATCGAGGTATAAGACACGGTTGCAGTAGCAGGAAAAGAACTCTTATATCGTTGAACGGTGATTTTTAAGTAGCAAGATACTTTTCTTTCACTGCTCATCTTTGAAACTTGAATGCACACATTGTTGCAGTCTCTATTCTCGAATGCAACATCGATGGAAGCACTATTTCGAATGTAAAACATTGTTGTACGCGTTACTTTTGAATGCAACATTGCTTGAAACACAAATAATAATTAGTAACTCATTATGTACGACGAATTTCTGAACATTTAGAGTTGGAGAATGAAGTATGGACCTTCAGCAACTTCCTTGTATAATTTTTAGCACGTTAGACCCGTTTAATAATTAGTTATTAACAATTTCAGTATGTGATGTCGGGAACGATACCAAATACCGTCATGTATCTTTACGTTTTTGCAATAATTTCATAGCTTTCTACTAAATTCTCATGCAAGTAACTATACGCGTCTCAAAGGCAACTCCTTCAGCTATATAGAAGGGTTATCTGTAGGGGTAGAGAAAAATGTTGAGCATGTATAATGACGTTTTTTTCTGCGCGTAGCCTTTGTTCCAGTGAAAGTTGAGGTTGCAAATTGATCGAGGTATAAGGCACGGTTGCACTAGCAGGAAAAGAACTCTTATATCGTTGAACGGTGATTTTTAAGTAACAAGATACTTTTATTTCAATGTTCATCTTTGAAACTTGAATGCACACATTGTTGCAGTCTCTATTCTCGAATGCAACATCGATGGAAGCACTATTTCGATGCAAAACATTGTTGTACGCGTTACTTTTGAACGCAACATTGCTTCAAGAGTTATATTTGAACGCAAACATTGTTGGAATCTCTCTTACTGATTGCAACATTATTAGAAGCGTTATTTCGAACGCAAACATTAATACAAGCACTACACTTGAATGTAACATCGTTACAAGCGTTGTCCTCGCTTGTAACATCGTTAACTCGTATTATTATCGATATTATTATTCGCTCCCGAAAATTGCACATTGTTGCAAACGTGCTCTGGGTTTGCAACTTTGTTGCAGCGAATCGTTCCCGAAAATTGCACAATGTTGCAAACGCGTTCTGGATTTGCAACTTTGTTGTCGCGGAAATTTGCACATTGTTGCACGACGCCCCGTTTTGCAACAATGTGCAATTTTCGCCGGCAACAAAGTTGCAAACCCAGAACACGTTTGCAACAATGTGCGATTTTCGGAAGAGACTTTTGGCAACAAAGTTGCAATTTGGGGTACCGCGCTTGCAACTTTGTTGCTGGGAGTCGCTCCCGAAAAAAGTACAAAGTTGCAAAACGGCGCGACGTGCAACAATGTGCAAATTTTCGCGACAACAAAGTTGCAAACCCAGAACGCGTTTGCAACAATGTGCGATTTTTGGGAGCGACTTTCGGATACAAAGTTGCAAAAGGAGTAATCGCGTTCGCAACTTTGTTGCCGACGAAAATTGCACATTGTTGCACGACGCCCCGTTTTGCAACAATGTGCGATTTTTGGGAGCGACTTTCGGATACAAAGTTGCAAAAGGAGTAATCGCGTTTGCAACTTTGTTGCCGAAAGCTGCTCTCGACAATTGCACATTGTTGCAAAACGGGGCGTCGTGCAACAATGTGCAATTTTCGCTACAACAAAGTTGCAAACCCAGAACGCGTTTGCAACAATGTGCGATTTTTGGGAGCGACTTTCGGTTACAAAGTTGCAAAAGGAGTAATCGCGTTTGCAACGTTGTTGCCGAAAGCTGCTCTCGACAATTGCACATTGTTGCACGACGCCCCGTTTTGCAACTTTGTGCTTTTTTCGGGAGCGACTCTCGGCAACAAAGTTGCAAATCCAGAACGCGTTTGCAACAATGTGCGATTTTTGGGAGCGACTTTCGGTTACAAAGTTGCAAAAGGAGTAATCGCGTTTGCAACTTTGTTGCCGAAAGCTGCTCTCGAAAATTGCACATTGTTGCAAAATGGGGCGTCGTGCAACAATGTGCAAATTTTCGCTACAACAAAGTTGCAAACCCAGAACGCGTTTGCAACAATGTGCGATTTCCGGGAGCGAATAATAATATCGATAATAATACGAGTTAACGATGTTACAAGCGAGAACAACGCTTGTAACCATGTTACATTCAAGTGTAGTGATTGTAGTAATGTTTGCGTTCGAAATAACGCTTCTAATAATGTTGCAATCAGAAATAGAGATTCCAACAATGTATGTAGTAATGTTTGCGTTCGAAATAACGCTTCTAATAATCTTGCAATCAGAAATAGAGATTCCAACAATGTTTGCGTTCATATATAACGCTTGAAGCAATGTTGCGTTCAAAAGTAACGCGTACAACAATGTTTTGCATTCGAAATAGTGCTTCTATCGATGTTGCATTCGAGAATAGAAACTGCAACAACGTGTGCATTCAAGTTTCAAAGATGAACAGTGAAATAAAAGTATCTTGCTACTTAAAAATCACCGTTCAACGATATTAAAGATTCTTTTCCTGCTACTGTAACCGTGTCCCGCACCTCGATCAATTTGCAACCTCAACTAACAAGGGAACAAAGGCTCTGCGCAAACAAAACGTCATTATACATTCTCAACATGTTTCTCCAACCCTGTAAATGACCCCTCTACGTAGATATTTATAAATTTCTCTCGGACTAAATCATTTTTTGCAGGATCTTAATAATTTCGTGACGACTGTTTAGGTTTGCTTCACATTCGATAAGTGTCCTGATATTTATGAAGGGGAATGTACATCAATTCTCCTTCTTTCGACGCGAATTATAACACATACTACCGGCCAAAAGTTTGGAATCACCTCCCAATTTTCATCAGTACTGAACTGCTACTGATATTGTGGAGATAAATAGCAATTTATCTCATATCGATTGATTTGAATGATACAAAATTCGTTAAAAAATTCTTAATGATGCTCGACTTCTTTCTGGGAATTTTTCTGTAACTTGCAATGCACAGTGATTCCAAACTTTTGGCCGGTAGTGTATATCGACACCTCAAGTACCATATTCTTCAAGAATAAAAATCCAGACACCACATCAATTTTACACCTACCTACAAATTATTAATTACCCGAGAAATTAAATCTAGACAACATTGGAACAGAAAAAGTAACTATTCCAGCAACCCTGAATTTTTAGACTTCACCACCTTTGTAGACTTAAAGGGAAAATAAATCAGATTACTTGATTATTTATTTACACACTTCACTTACCTTTGACTATTTTTATCATTTACATCGTATGTCATTTCAATTCCTCAATTAACCCTTTCGTTACTATTGGCGTTTATATGCGTTTTGAAAATTTCCTCGCACTATACCTTTGGAGCCTTTTGGTGCACTTGCACCTTAATTTAGCTATTGGCGTTTATATGCGTTTTGAAAATTTCCTCGCACTATACCTTTGGAGCCTTTTGATGCACTTGCACCTTAATTTAATACTTAATTTTATCCTTCACGCACTTCCACCTTAATTTGATCAACCGAATTTTAAAACGATACGGTCAGAATAACAAATTTTGCAGCCGTGATTAAAAATTTACCCTCAGTTGCCCACGTTACGCATTAAAATCTGCCGTAGCGGGAAGGGTTAA